GCCAACAGCGCAGATAGCCTCATGCTGCGTATGAGCCGAAATGAAATTCAAACGACAGCAACTACACACGCACACAAATAGACACATACACATACACGCACACGCACACACATTTATGATGCTATGGCTAAATATTGTACATTTTATTAATTTTCTCTCTTTCTGTTGCTGCAACAAGCAAGCTGAACAGCGCATTTAGCAAGCAGCGCAGCAATTTGTCGTCAATGTTTGCAGCGTCCATTGTTTGGGTCTGGCCAACATTTGAGGCACGCATAAGTGAATATTGGGAGGGGGAAACGAAACTAGTCTGAAATTCTTACTGAAAGTTTTGCTAATGAAAAGTAATCATATAATGCAATGCTCGGCTATCGAGTCGCCTAGTATATACTCTGTGTTCAAATTTAAGGCAAATTGACCATTCAAACATATTGAACTTTGTTACTATAAATATTTATTTTTGATGTGCGTTTATTTATTATCAAATTTCGATGTACAAAACTGCTACAGGGTATCTTCAAATCGGTTTCGAGCTACATTTGCTGTTAATAAGAGAAGCGCTGCACTGGCTCTGAAAAGTATGCTACATAATACAGAAAGAATAATATTATTAATAATAATAGAAAATATCTAAGATATGTATAATTATTTATATATATATATGAATATTTATATATATATATGAATATGAATAATTAAAAAAATATTTTAATTATCTACAATCAAATATTAATTATAATATTAAAATAAAATTTCTTTAAAAATATGAAATTTAATTTCTTATTTTTTTTTTAACCTGATTTTTTTTTAACCATAATTATATAATTTCATATCTCAATAATAATTTTGCTAAAATTATGTTATTGTTAGTCAGTGTTAAAAGCAATGTTCTGCCTTCTCCTTTGATACTTAGCAAAGAGTTTGCCGCAGTCAGAATATTTTGCTGTTTAAAGCTTGACAACAAAATGAATAAAGTTCAAAATTTTGTTAAGTCCAAAAGTCGTTAGAAATTCTTCTTCCTTTCGGACCGTTTACCTCTTGCCAATGAGAATTCAGGGTATAATGGCTTTGTGAAAGTGAATGTAATAGGCAGAAGCAGGCGTGGCAGACCACACAATGGAACATTTATTTAGCATTGTCCGTCCGCCTGTATGAACCATATACTCATATATTTTACTCTGTATTCCGTGGGTAATGTATGTATATATGAGTTTATGAGATTATCTCTTTATATCGATAACTTATTCTATTTATTTATCCAATTATGAGCATGTTGTATGCTTTCTTTGTAGAAAGAAGCGTAAAATGAGTAAAATATCAGCTCTACTCAGGGTACCTCCTAGTCGTCCAGTCTCTAGTAGAGCTCTATTAGTAATTATATTTGTACGCACAATCAAAGATTTTGCTCTTTGAGTTTGGAAATTGATATTTAGTTACGATGTATGGTCCGGACAATTGAAACGGAAATTAAAAACAGGCAATTTCGAGTTAATTGGCAGAGTGCACGGTGCGCGGCGACTGCTTGCCAATGTGCTGTGGTTGGTCATCTCATTAAAGTATAATCGACTGTATAAATATGTGTGTTAAACCATATTAAACGCACATTGTTTGTGTAATGCGATAAATGTGCATAATAAACGCATTGTGTATGCAATAAATGCCATTAAAAATGAGAACGCAAATTAACAGCGGGGCGGATGTGGTCAAAGTGATTGATGTGATTGAAGCTCGGGCAGCAAAACAATGCTAACATCAATCGCTCAATGGGGCAGTTGTATTGTCAGCTTATACAAAAGAGTGTTATGTCAATTTAATTTTCAAATAAGCAATGCATTTTTTATTATATATGCGATTTAAATAATATATTAGTTAAAGCAGGAAAGACTAACATGTAATATTAGGGGAGCTAAACTTGCAGACCATTCCATAAAAACGGATTAATTAAATCGTTTCACTCTGTTTTCCGCATAAAAGTAAAAGAGCTCAAAAAGTTTTTTTTTTTAATATTTTGTTCTATAAGTCAAGACAAGTTCTGCTTACAAGCCGAATATACGATATATAAGTATCTCAATTTACTTACTAGGAAACAAACTTACATCGTCTCTATGATTCTTCTTTTTTTCTCTAGTCTTACGTTCTCTCACAGTCTTTCTCCTCTGGTTTCTTCACTTAGCTTCCTTCTTTGCCACTGTCTGTGAGTCATTCTTTTTTTCTCTCTTCTCATATCTTGTTCTCTGCTCATCTATCTCTATTGATATAATATCTATATAGATTTATATATATATGTACTGCCATCATTCATGTATACATTTTCACACTTATTTATTTCCACCTGTCAACTTCTTAGCATATCATAACATTTATTGCGTCCCTTGCCCCATAATTAAGCTATATTTATCATTTAAATTGCCCCTTCATAGTACACGCTAATTAAACGCTGAAATTCATAGGCTCTTTATCAACGATTTTATCATTTGCCAGCTGCTCAGTTTGCACGCGGAACGCATTCATCAATTTGCGACTGTGAGTGCAATTCAAATTCCCATTCACACGCTATACTCCACTTCATTTTAATTAAACTGTTTGTCTCGTTTTAAGCGCACTCAAAGAAAAACCAATAATTTGTCTTTCCCATATTTCAATGGTAGCTCCCCCAACTTTGCCGCCTGTTTGCCCATTTGTTCAATCGATGCCAAGAATGAAATTGGCATCGTATAGCCAGGCATTGATGCTGCTAGCATTACGAATGCAAATGCATTCGCTGTCAAGCAAACCGTTGAATGTAATTGCTGCCACAGAAATTTATATTTAATTTTCAAATAAAATTTTTGCACATTGCCTCAAAGGATCCATTGTCTTGCACGCTCAGCAGCAATTCAATAAAACCAAAAAGGATGCACACAGTCCCGAACATGAATAGTACAACAACTTTGAGGTCTCCTTTCAATAAATAGCAAGTAATAAAAGGCGAAACCGCAAAACCACGCAGCTTTTAATATCCTTACAAATGAATAATCATTTGAATTATTAAACGGCCTTTTATGGCTCCTACTCAAACAGTTCAAATTGTTTTCTTTTTTATTTTGTGCACACTCCTCAAAGTATGCAGAGTATTAAATTGTGCGGAATGACAGCGTAATCGGTGTTTAATATTTATTTCTTGACTTGTTATAACCATTTATACCACAATTTAATTTTGATTAAATAGAATATAATTATAGTTGATATATTTACAAGTACATTTGTCGAGAATTTGTGAATTCTTATTTTAGAAAATAAATTAACTTCCGTTCATATCTTTTTTATTTAGCTAACTTCCTTGAATTTAACACTCTCGAAGACTTTTATTTGAATTCATATCACATTTTTTTATTTCAAAATATGAAAGTTCTTTTTAATACTATGAAATTAAATTTTTTAAAATTTTTAAATTCACATTATTAAAATATAATTATTTTAATTTTAATTTCCCTTCCGAAATAGAAATGTTAATTATAATTTTAATTTTAAAATCTCATCATCATTTACTCTAATCTAAACATATAATTTCTTGTTGAAGTATTTCGCACATCGCTTTTCATTATTCTTTTGTCTTAAATTGAATTCTCATATAAAATTAACAGTTCGTTTGCAAGTGTACGAAAAATTCTTTGCGTAGATCTGGGCTTTCACTTGGCCTCTTGTCCCGTTGTGCCGGCAGCCCCGGCCAGCAGTTGTAATTAAAATTGAAGCTGTGCGGCGCACATTGCAAAAGTTGCCAGCATTCCAGCTGTTTGTTGTCCAACAATAATTTTTATAGTACTTAATCATAGTGGAGAATGTGCTTTTGTTTCATGAATTGCGCCCAAGGTTGATGAAATTGCGTTTGTTAAAATGTGTTCCATACATATACATATATAGATGCATGTTAAACCAGAGGACGTAAACTCAGAAGCTCACATCGATTAAGTAGAGTACAAATACTCATTTATTATTGTATTTCTCGGAACGTGGGGTCGCGGTTAATATCAAACCAAGTGGCGATCTGTTGAATCGTTTTAATTTGCTATTAAAGTTGGGTGATTCCAGCTTTTTACCTGCTTATCTGTAAAATTCAAAAATGGCACTTAAGTCTGTCTATAATTATTTATGTATTTTATTTAATTATGGCACTGTTTTTTTATTCGTTGAATTTGTTTCAAGACCAGATGAAATCTCATGAACTTCATGAAGCGTTTTGTGCTTAAATTAAAACATGAATTGGGTTTATTCTGAAATACCCTCTCTTTGATTCCATTCGATATATAGAGATAAACATGATGTAAGGAATCAAAAGCGCAATATAATATTTCAATTATATAGTCTTTGGTATAAATAGATAAAGCCAAATATATGCTTTATATTAAAGATTTGTCTTTCGGTATTAAACGAACAGTTAATCTAATCTAATCTAAACATATTTGTAGTATTTAAAGCGTAGAAATTAAATTGAAAATAATCAATAAATGAATATTCAACATTTATTATTTTTATAAGCTTAACTTATTTAAAATGGGAAAATGTATGTAAGTTGCAGAAGGCTGGTCATGGTAGATTTTTGATAAGGTCGATGAGCTAAAATTATAAATGTTTAATGAAAATCTATATAAGACGCAGTAGGAGCTTATCTTTTTTTCAATAACCTTTCCCATTTCCTTGTATTGATTTGTTTATTTTAAGCGTAGCTTGAATACCAGGGAAGATAAAAGCTTTAAATTTACTGTGGGGTCTCTGAATTGAAAAGATTTTGGATTTTAAATGCCGCCCCTTCTCAACCAAATCATCAAGAAACGTATATTGAATACCAGGCACATATCTGGTCGGGCACTCCCTACTAGATTAGACTACTTGAAATTGAATTTATTTTATGTATTATATACATTTTTTTTATATATATAACTGATAAGTTTGCTGAACTCAATTTCTTGTCTAGTCTAGCTGTTTGCTGAAACTGTCTTCAAGATTCAGTCTCTTCTGTGTTTCGGTTCCGTGCGGTTGTCATCTGTGTAAAAATGAAAGTGAACTGTAATACTCTCTTAATTGCAATAGCATTGTTATACGTATCAAGCCCCTTGCTGGCAATGGAAAATAATATAAATCAGGTGAATTTGGTGAGATTTTAGTGTGATTATAAGAATATAATTTTTTTATATTCTAGACTGCTGTTAAGTCAGAAGGATGTGACGTGCAGGCATATAAGGTAGTTAGGCCTCTGTTAAACATTTTGTATGAAATGAAAGCTGAAATCGCAAAAAATAATAATAAAACTGAAAGCAAGGAAAGGGAAATGCAGAAAAGACTTGCTGATCAGTGTAAGGAGAGCTCGGAGCTCGTAAAGGAGTTGAGAACGGAAAATGACGAGCTTCGCGCAACAAATTCATTTCATAAAGAAACTATCGAAAAGTTATTTAACAATTCCTTATCAATCAAAAATGATATTGATCAGATGGCTGCCTTGAAGTGCGAGTCACTTCAAAAGGAAATAGATACAAATGTCGTGACCATCAATCAATTAAATATGCACATATCAAATCTGACTGCTCAGTTAAATGCGATAAACTTGGCCAGCACCCTGACGCAGTTACAGGACCAACTGAGAATAATAGATACGAGAATAGAACACGTAATTCAATTGGAACCGAGAAAACAAGTTGGCTGTGCTGCTCCTCAACATTCCACAAATCATGATGCGGTCATCGAAGTTAAGGGCTTAAAGCCGTTCAAGGTGCTTTGTGATAGTCAGATAGCGGGTCCTGGATGGACAGTTATACAGCAGCGTATCAAAGGCGGCGAAGATTTTTATAGAGATTGGGCTACCTATCGAAACGGCTTTGGTTCGTTTGAGGGAGACTTTTTTCTTGGTTTGCAAAAAATACATTTGTTGACCAGCGCCCAACGCTACGAGCTATACATCCATATGATAGACTTTAAGGGTGCGGTGACATACGCTCGATACGATAATTTCTCCATTTCCGATGAGGTTGGCAAATATGAATTGCTCAGCTTGGGCAATATCCAAGGTGATGTTGCAGATGATTTGAGATGGCACGAAAAGATGAAATTTACAACATTCGATAACGATAATGATAACTGGGCAGAGGGAAATTGCGCAAATCATCGCCATGGAGGCTGGTGGTACAATAATTGTGTCTCAAGGTGAGCAGCATATACAAACTGTAAAATATTCAATTAACTTTCACTATATATTTTTTGTATATTTTCAGTTATCTAAATGGAATTTACTTCAAAGGCCGTTCACAAAATTATAGCGGAATATATTTTAATTATCCGAACCAATTAAAAACACTTCTGATGCTCATACGTCCGTTTAACTATTGATTTGGCAACTTGACTTTTAACAGAACATATATATTTAAACTGCATTTGAGATGTAAACTATAAAAAAGGTGCGAAACTCATATATTATTATAATATAATATTTTATTTATTTTAACTTAACATATTGCAAACTGTTTGATGAGAATTAATAAAAGCGAAGGTGGATAAATGTCAATGTGAGTAATTTAATTAGAACGCCCTGAAGGAAAGATCATGAGCTAATTCACCTTCTTGTCTGATTGTCAGGTAATTGTGATGGTGTTTTATGGTGTCTCCGTGTATTATATTTACTACTCTTCTAAGAAGCAGCTTCGACTGAAGCCTTTGTCTTTTAGTTGTGTCCTGCTTTGATGTATTTCCCCTATTTCCAAATAGGTTTTTGTAAATATTTTTTATGATCACAATTTATTTTTGAAAATTTTGAAATTTTGATGTTTCTCGAATATTTGGAATTTCTGAACCACAATTTTCTGTGATTTTCTGTGTCTGAAGCAATAAGAGCAGTGTCATCCACATATGCTCTTATCGCCTATGATAAACCTGGAATAGCTTGTGGTTTTGCTGTATGAACTGTGTAAAGGATAGCACAGTTTTGATAACTTTAATATATATGCCGTCACTAGTAACACAATTTTTTGTGATATATATAAATATATTTAAGAATAAATATATTAAAATAATTTGATGATCAAGTAGTATGGGGTTGGAACAATTTTCTTAAGCTTTTATAACAGTCCTGGGTGCTGTTCCAGTCGAATGCTTTTCGAACATCTATTAAGTGCTACTTTGGTTTTTCTTTTAACTAGGTTTCAGCTAATCAAAAAGACTGAAAACCTTCGCTATTTACATGCACATATCTAAATAAAAATATTAATACATTAATTGATTTAAACTAATTTGTATTATAATATTATTTTATATTGTTTTGTTTCAAAGTTAATTTTCGCATAGCCAAAAAGTTTTTATGGAAAACAATACGAAAGCTGCCATGTGGGGCATTGCCTGTAAAAGAGGAATTTCATTTCATTTTTCACTGCTTAACTGGATAGTAGTTGGCTTAAAATGTTTTTGAGGTCGAGACATGACTTGATGTTATCATTATACCCTGTATAGATATTTAAAAATTGGAAAATTTGTTTATTATTTTATATTTTCTTTTAAATTTTTTATTAATTTAATATATTTTTTATTTTCTATATTTAATAATCGTAAATTAAATCTGAGAGAAATATTAATTAAGCTTACAAATATAACAAATGCGTTACTTATTTAACTAAACAATTCAAAACATTAATAAAATGCATATGTATATTTTTTATGCTCTTTGGAATTATATTTTATATGTATTTCATAGTCGGTCAGTTTTGACTGTTTATGTGCTCTCGCTGGTCCCCATAAGGACTCGATGGTGTTGTAAAATGTAATCATTGTGGCATGTAATTAGTTTTTGCGTGTGCGCCAACTCCCACAAGTGGGTGTGTCTGTGTAAGTGCAATATATGCTATGTATAACTAAAATGTACTGCATTAACGTATGAAACAGGCAAAAACTTACAGACACACACACGCACATTATGCAATTGAGCACACACATTCGTGTGGGCCAAAGAGTTGTGTGTTCTACATGATAAAGAGATTGGCCAAAAGTTCGGGCTATTTTGTATTGCAATGCTAAAAGCCAAAAATATCGTTTAAGCTTGAGCAGCTATAGTAAGTTGAACCTTGGGCAGATGTTGTGCTGGCAAGTTGAATAAAAGTATTTAGCTATTTCAGAAATATATGAAATCTATATGAAATTAAATTGAAGATAACAACTATTCAAACAAATTAAACTCGACACATGCAGCATATGTTTTACATGAAAAATCTAAATCTAGATTACAGTAAAATTACTAGATATACAATAAAACTCTTAAAGCAATTTCACTTAACTTTTGAGAACTTCTCTCTATGATATCAGTGGGATACTAAGACATAAGTTTATGAATTCCATTAGAAACAATTTCCATAGAGTTATTTAATTGAGCCCAGGCATGATTAACTGACCGTTGTTTCAATCCGCGTACCACACGTCGTATACAAACTAATAATTTACACACTATTGTGGTTGTTGTTGTTGTTGTCGATGACATTGCAACAATCAGTAATCAATTTACAATTTACGTTTGTACGTTTGTTGTTCTGTGTGTGTACATTGATTGGTGGTTGTGCAGAGGTTCCAAAATCTAAACACATTCACACAACAGCAGCTGCCTACGTATACGTATTTGCTGTTGTTGCTGTTGGAGCAATTGATTTGTTGGTCTATTTGGTCGTCGTCAGCGTCCCATCAATGTCCAAAGGAAATGCCACGCAATTTGTTTGTTCGCGCTCGCAGGCCACAAATATTGTGAAATTAACTTGTTAAAATAGTCGTGCCCCAGTGGTTTGGGCGTGGCTGTTGATAAATGACAAAAGATTTGCGATATAACCTTAACTGTGTGGAGCGGGCGCTTGTAGTTTTGTCAGCGTTAATGGCCATAAAACAATATTGACTGGCCATTGGATTGGGTTCGGTATGTTTTTGTGTCGTGAACTAGTTGAAAGTGAGTAGTTAACGCAAATTGTTTTTGTGCAAAGGTATTTAACAAGCGTAGCATGCAGTATAGAACTTTGCCTATATTTTTTATTTTTTCTTTTATCATTTATATTGAAGTTAGGAGCTTGAGAGAAAGAATCAAGAGTTGATTTTGAGTGGGAGTATGGCTTTATTTCAACTGTGAAAAGGAGTATTCCTTAGTCGATGTTCGCATCATTTGTCCTAAAGTGTCAAACTAAGTAGATAAACCACTTAAGTAGCTTTCATTATTAGATACAACTTTCAATTATAAAGTACACGTATGCTCTTAGCTAGTAGTAGCACCTAGGATGGGGAGCATAGAATGGCCTTTAATCTGATGCAATTGACCTGGCTTTAACTGCCTCATTGACCAGCATTCTGACCTGCACTCTTTGCGCTCTACTTTCAATGCGTTCGACATTTTCTCATTTCCTTTGGCTTTTGCTGCTCTTATTTTTTGCACTTTCTACGGCAGTTTATCACTAAAGTGCACGCAATGGCAGCCATGCTGAAGACGTTGCTAAGTGGCATACGCGGCGTATGACTTATCTGGCCATTCTGCAGCCTGCGGTTTGCGTTTAAAGTTTAAGTGGCGCAAAATCAGCGCCAGTAGAGCTCTGTGTGCAAACAGCGAGACAGCTGCAAGGGACTTCATTTGCAACATCAATCGCAACTTCGTCCTGCTGGCCTGCCTCCCAGCCTGCCTCCTGGCCGCGTGGTTGCTCTCATTACGTTGATGGCAGCGACCGCGTTGGCTGCGTGTTTAATAAAGCGTATGCCAGCAACCGGATGCCACGGAATGGCAGTCCGGATCCTAGTGTCCACTAGGCTGCCATTGGCTGGGTTTAATTAGCTTTAATGGCTTAATGCAGGGCATTTGAGCCGTCGTGAGTGGCTGGGCATGCAAAAATGACAGCTGCTAAGTAAACGAGCAGTTCTAGTTGGCCTTCTAGTTGACCTCCGCCTCAGATGTACGGACGATGACAGCATCATGAAATGCAATTTCCGCATCGTGACAAGCTTTGGCTATCAGCTGCACCAGCAACGCAGATCAAATCTTTGCAAAAGATTTCATATTACTTTATGTAGTTGGTTTTATACCAGGTCATTTCACTTATTTAAAATTAAAAATTAAAATTTTAAATGTAGCAGAAGATTTTAAAATCCATAAGCTATATGTATTCCTAATCAGGATCAGCAGCCAAGTCGATCACTCTTCGGATTGCCTTATCGCAAGTATGATCGCGTCGATATCAGAACTTAAAAGTGCTAGAGACCTGAATTTGAACTTGGATCAAGTTTGTTTACAATAATCGACCAATTTTCCTCTTTCAATGTTCTCGATTAATAAGGCTATATCGAATCTATTATCTATTAAATCATATCCTTGTCAGCTGTGGAACAGCATTTAGTTCGATATATACTTGACACTAATTTTTAAAAATATTTTTCACATTGAAGCTAATTGCAAATTTAATTTGCATTAGAACATGCAGATTGGAAAATTTCAATTTAAGTAACGCAGAAGTTATTAGAGAAAACTTCTTGTGATCAATATTAATTGGAAAAAAACACCTGCCACCAGCGCCAAGCCTCCGGATTTCTTCATGTGCATGAGCATGGATACGAATTTTTCGAATTTATTATAGTACAGGAGATGCGTGTGGTTGTGGCGAAGGCGAATTGGTTTTAAGCTCGTTAGTACAGTGAAAATGGGAATTCAGGGTATAATGGTTTTGATTAAATGTGTGTAACAGGCAGAAGAAGGCGTGGTATAGATCCCATGAAGTATAAATGAGTCCGTAAACTATTATCGCTGGGGATCTTGTAAACCACAAGTGCTAAGAACTGAAAACTAGATATCTAATCGATTGAAATCGATCATTTGATTTAAGTTTTTAGACGTAACTTGAGCATCACACGTTTATTGTGTCTTTGTTTCTGTCATGAATATGTAAGTGTGTATAAAAGTTGCATGTATTGTTTGGAATAGCACCTCTGCTCAGGGTTCAAGGTACCTCCGAGTAGGTCACTCCCGATATATCAGCAGCAACAGAAATAATTAAATTAAAAAATTGTTATTCGCGTGCTTATAATTTTGTAAATATGATTATTTAGCTGTGCTGTTTAAAAATATAAATGCATGCGTAATGTTGTGTACAACTTTCTTACCTAACTTAACTGAGAAGTGGCTCAGTGTACAGCGACGTCGTTCTTGCTGTCTGGAATGGGGTTATATTGGTAAAAATATAAATATTCTAAATATTTATTTAACATTTACCATAAAATGTTTATTTTTCAAACTTATTTGTTCAAGTGTGATCGAGGACACTTATAAAAAGGTAAAATGCTCCAACTAGCCTCAGTTTCGATCGATCATCCAGCCGCCATGAAGTGGGCTACCAACTTTTTAATTGGTAATAACATATATTTGAGTTTTAAGTGAACGTTATTAACTGTTGCACCTCCACCTCCAGTGAGCTTGATCCTTATAGGGCACACCGATCTTAGTGCTTCAGTTCCTTCTTGTGGATGCCCCATTACAACGCCAGCTTGCCCAACAACGACAACAAAACGTTGCCCAACAACAACTAGAGGTTGTCCTACGACAACAAAACGTTGTCGAACAACAACAAAACGTTGCCGACCGACAACAGTTAAAACCACCACGAAAGGTTGCAACACCCAACCCACCCAACCAACTCAACCAACGCAACCAACGCAACCGACTCAACCACCATGTACACAACCCACCCAACCAACTCAACCAACGCAACCGACGCAACCGACTCAACCACCATGTACACAACCCACCCAACCCACTCAACCAACGCAACCCACTCAACCACCGCACACTCAGCCGACACAACCAACGCAACCGACGCAACCGACTCAACCACCATGTACACAACCCACCCAACCCACTCAACCAACGCAACCCACTCAACCACCGCACACTCAGCCGACTCAGCCAACGCAACCGACGCAACCGACTCAACCACCATTTACACAACCCACCCAACCCACTCAACCAACGCAACCCACTCAACCACCGCACACTCAGCCGACTCAGCCAACGCAACCGACGCAACCGACTCAACCACCATTTACACAACCCACCCAACCCACTCAACCAACGCAACCCACTCAACCACCGCACACTCAGCCGACTCAGCCAACGCAACCGACGCAACCGACTCAACCACCATTTACACAACCCACCCAACCCACTCAACCAACGCAACCCACTCAACCACCGCACACTCAGCCGACTCAGCCAACGCAACCGACGCAACCGACTCAACCACCATGTACACAACCCACCCAACCCACTCAACCAACGCAACCCACTCAACCACCGCACACTCAGCCGACTCAGCCAACGCAACCGACGCAACCGACTCAACCATGTCAAACAACTAAACCACCTACCAAACCTACTCCACCAACTAAACCACCTACCAAACCCACCCAACCCACGAAACCTTGTCAAACAACTAAACCACCTACCAAACCTACTCCACCAACTAAACCACCTACCAAACCTACTCCACCAACTAAACCACCTACCAAACCTACTCCACCAACTAAACCACCTACCAAACCTACTCCACCAACTAAACCACCTACCAAACCCACCCAACCCACGAAACCTTGTCAAACAACTAAACCACCTACCAAACCTACTCCACCAACTAAACCACCTACCAAACCTACTCCACCAACTAAACCACCTACCAAACCCACCCAACCCACGAAACCTTGTCAAACAACTAAACCACCTACCAAACCTACTCCACCAACTAAACCACCTACCAAACCTACTCCACCAACTAAACCACCTACCAAACCCACCCAACCCACGAAACCTTGTCAAACAACTAAACCACCTACCAAACCTACTCCACCAACTAAACCACCTACCAAACCTACTCCACCAACTAAACCACCTACCAAACCCACCCAACCCACGAAACCTTGTCAAACAACTAAACCACCTACCAAACCTACTCCACCAACTAAACCACCTACCAAACCTACTCCACCAACTAAACCACCTACCAAACCTACTCCACCAACTAAACCACCTACCAAACCTACTCCACCAACTAAACCACCTACCAAACCTACTCCACCAACTAAACCACCTACCAAACCCACCCAACCCACGACACCTCGTCAAACAACTATACCACCTACCAAACCACCTCTATCTACCAAACCCCCCCGACCCACTAAGCCGTGCAAACCCACACAGCCCAATCATTGCATTTGTGGTCCTGGCGGCCCCCGTTGTAGTTATTGTCCTCCACACCGCGTACTGTGCGATGAACTTATAACCGATATTCATTCGCTGAGTTTTTTGCTGAAAAAATGCGTCTGCGATGATGTAGTTTAAGATCATACGATACAAAGCTGTCAATATACATTGTTGATGCTAAGATGGATATCAAAGAATTGATCTAAAATTGTTGAACTGAAAAAAATTGTTGAAAATAAATGAATACCATACGAATGGGAACTGGTTATATAAATATAAAAAGAATTTCGGAGAATTGGAACGAACTATTTCAATAAAAATGCGCAGCGTGAATGCCAGGGTAGAAATAATGAACGCGCTAGAACAACACGAAAACATCGAAAAATATATGCGTATATATAGTTTCGTTCTAATTCACAGCAGAAACACTTTAAAACAATTTTCTACCAAGCGAACTTCAAGCGAAGCGAATAAAAGATGCGGCGAACGGGGCACTGACTATTTATTTGCCCCAAATTGCACTGGGGGGAGTGGCAGGTAGTTGGAGTGGAAACACCCTGACACCCCCAAGGATGCGCTGTGAAATTCATTCACACGTAACAGCATTGAGAAACCACTGAGAAGAGCTGTGCAGTTCTCACTTGTTGTTTTTGTTTGTGGCATGCTAAAGAAACTTTGGCTCATAACTTTACATTGAAGAAGATGCATATGCAACACGTTCGTGCCATTCAGTGTTGCACCACCTTCCGGTCGCGGCCAACTAGCAATTGAGTGTGCATATATATATATATATGTATATATATATATATATATATAAATATATATGTGTACTTTTCTTTCGAAGATTACGTATACGTACGTATGTGCAACTTTTTCAACAGTTGCGACTTTTGCAATGCTTTGCAGTGAACCGAACTGTGACTCATTTGAACTAAACTGTGAACTGAACCGAAGTTATCTCAGCTTAAATGGCAAAAGTAACTGATGAGAATGTAAGAGGTTCGGTCGGGTCGTCGTCAAGTTAATTGAAAAATAGTGTTTGCTATTTTATGGCATTGCCCCGAACTGTGTTGACAGTTGAACAGAGAAAAGGACAACAGATGTCCGCGGTAGTTCTCTCTTAATTTTTAATTAATATGCAGCTGGATGATGGTTGGCTAGGCAACTATTAAAGCTGACTCAGCTGAATTCCAATCATTAAAACATTCAAGTTATAAATAATATACGATATATATTTCTTTTATGCTTTTTCATTTAAAATGCCTACAATCTAGTTTCAATATAGTTTCTACATTGTTCAGAGAGAGCGTTAGAAAACTAGTATTTCATATAATCATTTCATTTGTTGTATTTGATTAAAAGCTATTTATATATATTTATATATTTGTTTTGTTTATTGTATTTATAATTAAAATTTAATATTATTTAACTGGCTCATTATTGAAACGCTCGTTTAGCAATGTTCCCTGATTTTAGTCCAATTTCTATTGTGTGTGCAACGTTTCCTTATGCATTCAAAATTAAAGCTGCATCTTTGTTTACATTTAGATAATTCTATGCTTAAAACGAATGATCAGCGTATAACTGATGGCCGCAATTTCTTTTTAGCTTCTCTAACTACACAATTCCATATTTAACAATACCAACTATTCAGCCTACAAGCAATTTACGATATGTGTCTAAATTGTTGCCAAAACAAACAAAAAATGATGCATACATATTTATTAATACATATTTAATTTGGTAAACTAGTATTCGTTGTTGTGCTTAATGATGCTTATGTTAAATCACTTATCTTATTTACAAACAATAAAATCCGTGATATGGTAGCAAGCTTTTCAAACAAGTTTTCAATAATGAGCTGCAGAGGCATTTGAATACTGTCTAACATTATTTTTTGTACCCATCAAAAAACAATTTTCGATTATCAGCTAAATCGTTAAATTTAATAGTCTGTGCTTTCTTGTTGATGAGTTTCATCATCTCTTTTACATTTACATATATAAACATTTATTTTTTAAATGATATTTCTGTTGGCGCATTGCAAACGTCTTTGTAATTGAAGCTTTTCAAGCTTTTTATACAACCTCCTAGCTGGGACATAAACATAAAAATACATATCTAACTAAATTAAACAATTGTCTTTGCCTTTTATATTATATAATGGCGTAGTCTATAAGGAATTTTTGATAAACATAAGCGTTAAATTACAACTAATTAACAATATGACTATGATTTGCATTCAAAACATTATTCTCTTTATGCATATGAGAACTGATCAGAGACCTATTGGAATTAATAACAATTTATAATAGAAAAGCGTTTGAAACTAAGTTGTGCTTATTTTTCTGATAATAATAATCTCTAACATAAATTTTTTAATAGCTATGAGTATTCTTAGACTGTATAGTACGACGGTTGAACGGTTGGCTTATGCTCTAGAGGTCCCACTAATAAAAGTCAGTTCAGGAAATATGAGTGGGTTTTACTTTTGCCATTTTTGCTGATCGTTGCCAAGAGACCTGATGGAAAAAGAGAGTAAAATGTTGAGATATGTTTAAGATTTGACTTCTCTTAGCACACACCTTCGGTATCCGAGGCTCTGGCCACGCCCATTCGCTCAAGTAACCGAAAGAGTGCCCCCAAATTAGAGCGTTCATCCATGAATCTGTTCTCCAGACGAACAACGGCAGATTTTTTGTTTTTGGTCTGCGTATGCCAAACAAGAATTTCGGTGCAGTTCTTGCCCCGAGGCTCGATCTGCTCGATGCGCAGTCCAATGCTACGTAAAAACAAATCCTCCTCATAACCCGGCTTATAGGGCATATTCACATTTGGATACTGTGACATATACGACAAGCTCACAGCGAAGCCAGCCATGTCGACAGGCCAGCGACGACCCGCCACCCAAGAGTCCAGAAAGGCCACAACTTTACCCTGACAATTAGAGAATATAGATGAATTTATGACAGATTGATATTAGACCTATCTAATATTTACTTACATCACGCACCACCGGCCCACTGATTGCATATTCTGCTATCAGTCCAACGGGAAACATAGAGACACGCTGTGTCTGCCTAATTTCCGAGAATAATCTTAGATCGTACGTATTGTCATCGTCACCAAAGTAGAGTATACCATTCGTGAGGTTATGCTGATGTAGCCATTGTAGAGCTGCTCGTCGATTGGCCACGCCCCTCGGCGCTGGCTTCACTTTGCGATACTCACGGGGCATGGGGCTGGCCATATGTGTATAGGGAATACCTGAGAAAATTGAAACATTGACAGAATATATAAATAACTTAGCAGAAACAGAAACCGAACATTATTGTTGACAGACACATAAGAGCTAACAATAAAACAATCTACTATTTATTTTAACAAGCAAAGAGATAATAGCCTGGGCAGTAAATAAATATTTATTTCTGAATACCGAAAAGATAAATACCTAGGTATAAATAAATATGTCGTCTGAAGTTGATAAAAAAAGAAAAACAAGTACTCTATTTTCATATCGTTTCACCTTGTACACATAGAGCTAAGAAATGCTTTAAATAAAATTGTTTTTGACCGAAGTTTCTCACAGTTGGAATAGTAAATCTAATTACTAAACGTTATCTCGAACAACACTTGTTTTGATATCTCAAAAGGTCCCTGCTGAAATGAAACTATTTTTAAAGTGAACTACTTTTAGTAAGATCTACTCTTGGAATGAAGTACTCTTGGAGCGAACTACGCTTGAAGTGAACAACTCTTGTGTTAAACTACTTCTTAAGTGGACTACTATTGTACTGATTGTTAGTGATTAGTTACTCTTAATCTAATTAGTTAAACTACTCAAGTAGTGATCTAATCTTAACTTTAAATATTCTTGTTATTAACTATTATTGAAGAGAACTTACCTTTTAGTGAACTAGTTTTGCAACGAACTACTATTATGATCTACTCTTATCGTGAACTATTCTTGTAGTGAACTTTTTTTGGAGTGAACTACTATAATTTTCTTTATTTACTATAATTTATCTTAAACAGAATCATTCTAAACGTGAACTAGTCTTTTAGTGACTTAATCTTAAATGGAATCAGTCTTGGAATGAACTACACTTGGCTAATGTACCTACCAAATCCATTCAATTGCATATCCAAAAAGTTATCACATCCCTCCCGATCATTGGCCACCAGCCAATGGAGTCTAGGCACATGGAGCAGGGTGTACGCGAGTCGAATCAGTTCGGGTATTTGCTCGCGTCTGGGATATGTGGGCGTTACGAAATAGATCACAGGCAGCTGTGCGTAGGCACTACGCGGTTTATCATCTATATAGAGGCGATGATCTTCATACCTCTCGCTGCAAATGTGCAACGGTTCATTTAAAGCGATCCCAATCGTATTCCCTGCAAAAAAGAAAATGCTTAAATCATAATATAAATCCATTTAGGTGAACTGCCTAAAATTAGGCAATGCTAAAATTGGGCAAGACTTGTGTGGTATTTGCGAGCACCCCCACCGACGTGACCACTGGCCTAGAATAAACAGCTCACGATTCGCAATTAGCGCAACACTTTCCTTCTTTTAGCGCTCAAATATTTTGTGCTATTATAGCACATAGTATAAATAGCAAATAGCATTTAAGTTTATTACAATATTGAAACCGTCTGAGAATACAAGTGAACGCTATTTATAATTGATCTCATCAAGTGCATAATACAATTGGCCTAGCCCAGATATAGCTGTCTATATAAATACTCAGATATATATAAGTTTGTATAATCATTAAACGCACTTAACTTGGTAAACCTTCGATGATAGTATGACAATATTGACTTGATTTCTACGTTAGTTCTGTCTCTGCCTACCATCCTTATATACAAGTGATAATATGTAATGTCGATTAGACATTTGTATATCACGTGGCTAATGACGCTATAGCATTAAATGCCGTCATTCTGTCAATTGTTATGTGAGAAATGGTCGAAATGCTCGCATATGCATTTCCAAAACCGAATCGGCTTTTGTAATCACATTTTGAATGCATACGTTATCTATTGAATATAAATATTATGAATATGAATAATATAGAATGCAATTCGAGAGCCCATCTATATATATATATATATATATATATATATATATAGGGTTATACACTTGTTCGGTGTCAGCTTTTTAAGGGAGAGAATTCCTATACAATAGATGCGTTTAATTTAACAACATTTTTGATTCATATTGGAACTTAGAGATTATTATTATCTGTATAAATGTGTTCATTTATGTATCTCTCTATGTATTCACTGATATTCATATTATCAGATTAAGGGCTGTATTGATAAGGCTAGAAGCTCCGATAGATAAAGTGCAATATCAATAGATTTAAAAGTGCTATGGAAGATAACACGAATTCGACTTATTTTACTTTGCAGCCAATTAGTTTTTAGAAGTATATAAAATAAAAGTTGAACTCATTGAGATCTAGGGGCGTGACAAATCGGGAAAGACCTTAACAGTTACTCAATTATTTAAGGCGCTAGCGAATTGCAGCTCATAATATATACTCATATAGATAGTGCAAGGTCAATAATTTGCAGTAGATATATATACCCATTGTGAGCGTAGCAAATCGCGTAAGTGTATGTCACAGTTTTTCACCTGGAATTTGATACGTGAACTGTTACTGCTGACAATGGCTTTAGGAAAAGTTATAGTATCCAAATCTTTATAGATAGAAACTTAATACTTTGTTAGTTCAGTTGCTCTTGACTCTCTATTGTTCATTGCAGTGGCAAATCCGAAAATATTGAACGAGTTTTATGCAGTCATTCAGCAACATTTGTTTGCAATATATATCGAAAACTTTTAAATAAATGTATAAAATACTAAATTTTTTAAACTTCTCAACTTTATATTCAAAACAAAGTGAACTTTCTTGAGATTGCTCAACTTTTGTATGAACTATATTCATTTTTTTTTTTACAATTTTTAGGTATACACTTTTTATTCATATAATATTTGGGTGAACTTGTCATCTTTAAGCCCTTCCCCTTCCCACATAACATTCCATTAAGACTATCGCATGCAAACATCAAAATAAAATTCAATTACCTAATGGAATCCGGCCTGCATAGCCCATTTATGTACAGCTATATTAATTCAGCTAGCTGTTGTTACACATATGAATATGATAAATTAGCGTTAATGTTTTTTTTCAATCTTTCATAACGCAGAAAAAATACCCATTAAAAAAGTCCCTTGATATCTCTATTGAGTCCAGAACACGCAAACCGACATAGCCCCCAGATATTTGGCTACTGATAACTTTCACATATGCATTAACGGTAATAGGTATAATTGTTCTGGCTGGTGGCCATCTATCAATATTGGACATTTAGGTCTGGTCTGGACGGCCAGACAGACAGACGTTGTAATGAGATCCGCTTGCGAAGGAGGCTCAATTTAATAGCTAATTAAATATTGACTTCCCATGAAACGCTCCAACTGAGCCCCCACAATGTAAACAGAGCGCCACACCAAGGGGAGCCCATTGTCAAAGGCAAAAGGCTGCTCTTATGCCTGTGCCCCTTGAATCAAGTATTTACTGTTATATCGTGCAAAGAATCAACAATTTGCGCATATCACAAACTTCTTTAAATCAGAGCGTCTGCTCAATTATATTCCGACTGTACGTCTGATTTAAGCACTTGTGACAAACACCTGATAAGAGTCATATATCATCGCGTTGGCGACGCTTGGACTGCACTGGTCGAGCGTGCACAGCTACGAGATACCGTGACAAGCTGTGCTAAATCAGAAATAAGAATGTAATATAAACTTTTACTATGTAGAAATGGAGGAAGATAAACAAATGTAAGATCTCATTAGCTGTAAACTTCATTACTGGAAGCAATGCACGAAATAATCATGGCTATTGTATATATTATATCTTAATCAAAGCAAAAAAAAAAAAAAGATATTTTAATTCATTTATTCATGGCACTCACCTCCAGTAGGAAGGTGGTCACATTTCTTAATTAGACTGATTGATTGGAGTTTTTTCACAAATCACTTTTACTTCTTGCACATATTTAACTACAAGTGACAACGATAAACAACTATCGATAAGCAACTATCGTTATCATTTGTGGTTAAATATGGAAACTATCTTGAGAATTCTAATTGAATGGCAGCATGTTTTGAGTGCACATGGTTCAGTTCGGAATTCTGATAAGTTTCCCAATATATGTATGTCTGCATTTATAAATCAATAAAGATATGAATGAATCATTTTAATGGGCGATAACATTTCAACAATTGCAACTTTGCACTTAGCAATCGGTTTCAGGTGCCAATCGCTATTATTATTTTTTTATTTTTAATTCATGCTTTGCTACGATATGTAAACAGCGTTTAGCTTTTTTACCCTGTTTGCTAATGAGCAATGTAAATAATGGAAAATATAAATGTGAATTGAATTTTTATACCCTGAACCCATAGAAAAATGGAAATCATGGTTTTGTGAAAATGTGTGTGGCTGAAGGCGTGGCGTGTCAGAACCCATAGAGTATTTTATTATCTTGCTATGTCTACTACAACCGTCCATATGACCTCGATTTAAAGCTTTAGAATATTTTTATTTTGGATACTTGATAAGAAAAAGCAATTAAGTCACCGAACGCGATTAACATTTCCAGTGAAATCAATCAAAATGAATTTTTGGGAAAACGAAATATTTTTAAAATTGATTTTTTAACAAAAAATACTTTTTAAAATATTCAATACAAAAATTAAATTTGCATTCAATGTAAATATTTAAAAATAAGAATATTTCAATAAATTTTTAAAACGTCACTTCATTTGTGTAATAGACATTTCCTTTACTCTTGCCAATGCTGAAATATTTTATATTTATTTGTAATAATCTAGCAATAGGAAATAGCATTCTAAATGCAGATAAATGAAATGTTTTGAGGAACTTGAATAAACATTGTATGAAATAATCGCAAAATACGTATTTCTTTGTGCATTGTAAAAAATTTTTCATTCAACAAATTTTTTATCAGCCCTCACAATTGCACAGTAAAATATTTAGCATATATACAAAATATTAGTCATTTGTTCAGATACTAGCTCGTAAAGTTCGTAAATTATATATTTGTATTTATTTTCATCCATTGTTGGAATATTACTCGATATGCACGTGCCATTGCCAGCAATTAGGTAGATCGCGTGCAATTTTAATGCCAACTTTTGACTGAATAAATACATATGTAAATACACAATTTAAAAATCGTAAATTTCTGCGAACACAATTTGAGGTCGTGGCGTGTCCCAAGTGCATGCACTTGGAACACAAAACTCATACCAAAAACACATGGACATTTTGAGAATTGTGGCAGAAAAACGTGAATTTGCCATTGCCCAACTGAGAGATATGTGATAAGAGCATAGAGTGCGGTCGATTCGTCATATTTTGTAGGCGACTGAGTAAACTGGAACTGTTAAAAGCCCATTAACTATTCCATCTTGAACAACACTTTGCATCTACTACAGTTTCTGTTGCTGAGTGTGCAAAAACTGCAATTAAGTCATTTAAAAAAATCGTAATAATATGTATTCGAGTCGTCGTTGAACTGGGATACAGTTGACAGTTTCCATTGTTAATTGAGACAGGGCACTAGAACTGAGGATTGCTTTAAGTAATCAACTCAACTATGTTCCAGTTAGTTTATGAAATTGTGCTCATAAAAAGTTTTGTTCATTAATTATATATGCATATAGGTATCATACTAAGCAACTAATTTTTTTTATAAAAAGAAAACTAGTTTTTAGGGAAATACGCAAAAATCAATTACGTATGGGAAAACCAACTACAAAGTATTGAGACTTATTTGAAAACCACTAAGTATCAAAGACTATCTATGTAGCCCTATAATAAGTGTCCGACTTGCAGATACCCGGCTCAGCACGTCTTTGAACATTTAATTTATATTTTATAAATAAGAGCTTAAGTGAACGTCTACTTTCTATGCAAATCTAAATTGCATAAGCTATCGATACTTCGCTTGATTAAAATGAAATCAGTGGCTTAATGATTGAAATAGTCTTGATTTAAGTCTCAAACATCTTTAGCTTTTTAGTTACTGCTGCCAGTTAAATAAATGTGTATAAATATATTACTCCATTCAAGTCCATATTTAATTTTTAATTAAAAAAATGCTAAACTTTGAACTTTAAATTTTTTAATGTGCGCCCATAAAGTATTTGAAGCAAAGTCTGTTTTGTTTATTTAATGATTTCTGGTTTCTGTTTTGTTTACACTAGTTGAGAGCATCGTTGTTAGCTAATGCTAGCGCTAACGGATTATATAACACAAACTTTGGGTTCTTCGAAATGTCATGGAATCTATACAGAAATTATGTCATGCGTTTCGTTTGAATCATTGCCTAAATATTTGATGATTAGATTTGCGCATTAATCAAACATTTCAAAATATATTGTTTAGTTGGATTTTCCGAATTTTCCCATGTCGTCATTCAATTAATGGTTTTAATAGCCCATCTGAGATTGCAAACATCAAAGACGTTTTACGGATGAGAAATCGCAGTGGAAATCGCGTGCTGATGCACCTATAGAGAAAATCGATCGATCGATGTGTGACCCGCAACAAAAGGCAAAATAATTATCTAATAAATTACGTATAAGAAATTAAAAGCGAAGAGCTGGGAAATGTGCCCTTGGCATGCACCGTGAATGGGAAATTGTTGCACGCAGATGTGGGCTGGCCAGGGGCATGGGAAGGTGAGGGTGGGGATGATGTATCGATAAAATTTATCGCTGAAAGAGACAATGCTTAGCAAATTAGGCCAATTACTGCTAAATAATAAATACTAACAAGAGCAACGACAACAACAGTTAATAAACCAACTAAGCAACTATGCCAAACAGCGAACCCAACCCGTCAGCTTACGTGCAATGATTGCCTCAGCACTTGCAGAGCCTAAACAACGTCTGAAGGGGGAAAGGGGTGACTAAGGCAAGAGAGAGTGAGAGTGAGCGACATTGAACGAAAGGTATGAGACTGAAAGAGAGAGTGAGAGCGGGAGAGAGAGTGTGTGTGAATAGCGTTCGAGTGTCGAGTGTTTGCTCGTTAGCCAGTTGCTTAGTTTACTTGATATACGCTTACAGCAAAGGTATCACAATTTCCTTATGAAATATGGGAAGTGCTTAGAAAATGATCAACATCTATACGTGGTTAAAGACCTTGTCAAATTACAGTTAAATCGAAACAAATTTGAAAATGAGAAGCGAAAACTTAATACTTTTTAGTATACATTTAAAGCCAATTCGATAAACAGAAAATTTGAACTGTAAACATATAGGCAACCGACTCGATAGACGTTCTCAGCTTGTCCTTAGAAACTACTGTAATACTAATATTGCTTATTAGCACAAAACAAGACGAAAACATAAAACTAAATGACAATTAATTTTCAATATCATTTAAGATTAAATATCCCATCAATTTTGATTATAATCGAATTCAATGAGTTTCATTTTTAAGTAAAATTGGCATTACTTATGTTTGATAGAGTATTAACAATACGACTTTACGTCATGCTTGGCTATATATTAATATTGATGCTTGGAAGGTGATGTTATTCCACAGCGACCTATAAGTTAGCCTTATATGAGTCTCAGAGGAGCACGCTACTAAAAAAGTCATAAAAAATTTCATAAAACTAGAAATTTGGGGGCTGGCATGCAAATCATGTCATAATACACAGTTTAAACAAACCTTTGTAGCGTTTGCTTCCCATATTATATTATATGATTTATTTAATATAATTTAAATTATATTTTATTATATTAATTTATTGTTGCTACTAAAGTGGGAGAGCCCTATAAAAAATAAAATATTATATATAAATATAATACTGTTATAGATAAATGTATTTTGTTTCAAATTCAAAATTGTTTTCAATTAATTTCTGTATTATTTTATGTCTATTAATCATCAACTCTATAAAACTTGGTAAAATATATTATATATTATATTATTATTATATATAATATATATTTGAAAATAATTTCAACTAAATTATTAATCAAATTTAATATATAAAATTTTTTCAATACAAAAGGCGACAAACTCTGTTAGATAATCGAAACTCCTCACAGCGCGCGCGAGCGCACGAGTAACGCAACCAAAGAAAAGTGAAAGTCTTTGCTTAGATTTGCTTTTAGAGCACTCGCAGAAGTTGCAACAGTTGCAGTGGCAGCAGGCGTTGGTCACCAGTGGGGCAGCTACGTATAATGTATGTAATTGTTTATGTTTGCATGTCTATACGTGTTGCATACGCAGGTGTGTTTGTGTGTAATAGCTGGAAGCGAGTGACGAATTCATGGTATGATAAGACGAGCCGAGTTGCTCATACTTTTGACGCCTGATTAACTGGTCGTTCACTTGTTTCCATTAAAAACCAATAACAAACGAGCAAAGTAACAAACAAAAAAGGCACAAAGAAAAGTAAACAAATTACTTCGCAATGTTTATGAAGTGTTGGATGCGAATGCATAAATGGAGTATGGAGAATGGAGATTTAGGCTTACGTATGCTTCCATGCGTGCGTTTGCTTGTTATGGTCGCTTGGAAAGGATGATAGTAAGCTGTCGTCAGCCGCGTCATCTTTAAGCTTAGTGTTATGTGCCGCCGCTTACCTATGCCGTTATGCGGGTCAACGTCTCCGTCGGCATCCTCCGAGTCTTGCGACTGTGGACTGATCACAAAGTAGATCAAAAAGCAGATTGGCAACAGGATCAGCGTAACAAACAAAAAACGTCGCATGCCCGAGCTGGCAGCCCGACTGAAACGTGGCGCCGTCATGCCGCCAATGGACCGCAGTTCATCAACTGGCTGTGGATGATAGCGTATGCGTCCGTTTGGCTGCACGTCCGTTTCGATTGTGCAATGCTCGAGCAGCCCCTCCTCGAGGAGGTCGTCTTCGTCGTTGTCGTCTGCGCGTAGTTCGAGTGGTTGATAGTGGGCACTTGGCATTGTGCAGCTGCTCTAATGCGACGCACAGCAGCTGTCGAAGCAGCTTCCAATGGGTGGCGATGGTGGTGCTGGTGCTGGCTTTGGTGGTGGTGGTGGCAACTGCAACTGCAACTGCGGCAGCTGAAGAAAGAGCAGGCACAGATGACGACAGCGCCGGGCTGTATATGCCATTTGTGGACCTGAACTTCGGTTGCTTTTTTGTTCTTTTTTTTTTTGTTCTCCTTTTTCGGTGCGCTGCTGTTGCGCGTTTCAACGGATCTGCTGACTCGACCTCCCTATCTAGCGATGTATATATACATATGTGCAGTTATACAATTCGTTCATTACTACTAGTCGTTCATAATCTTAGACAATATGTATATTTTCTTTATTATTGGACAGTTGTCGCAAAGGTCTCTATATACATATATATGTTATATATGCAAACAATCACAAAAGCTCACACGACACAAACGCAGAAGTATAAAAACACACGCGAATGAGAGAATGCCGCACGCCTTTTTGGGTGCTCAGCTAAGAAACAACACCAACAACAACGAACGCAACGACTACTGAAAAAAGTGTTGCTTAATATTAATTATATTATTTATTTTGTCTGCTTTTGGCATTTGCCTCTTGTTGTTGTCTCGATGAGTTTGACAGCAACACTGACACAACCGTTGGTAGCCAGAGACTACTTTTGACTCACAAAGCGCACTGCCCTCTCTCACTCTCACTCTCTCGCTCATACGCTCTCGGTTGCCCGCCGCTTAGCACAGCTGCTGACACACAGGGTTGCTTTTTATTGTAGCATTTGTTGTGGTTCGTGTCTTTGCTAACGTGTGTCATTTTCGTACTAGATTTATGGCGCCCTGCTTTTCAAAATGATTTTGTTCTATTTACATATAATACAAAAGTTATTAATAGTTTAGGTAAACTATTTAAAATCAATTCTTTAGTTTTTTATAAAACAAATAGCCATAGTAATGTTAACCAATTCTGAAATAAATGTAATTTTCGTTTGAAGTTAGCAATTTGAAAAATATTAATTGATTTTAAGATTTTTTTTTATATTTTGAAACTATATTTTATTTATTTTGATTATTATTTTTCGTATATTTATTTATTTTAATCGTTTTTTTTCTTATTTATATATTATTTATTTATTTAAATTATATTATATATTTTATTTATTTTTCTTGTAAATTAATTTTTATATGTTCATTTGCCTTATAAATTATAAACTCCAAAACTATATTTTTTTGTTTATTTTGCTAGAATTTCCCAATTCTGAAACATTTATTGGTTCTTGTTTCTTTTGATAACATGAAGACTTTTAAGTATGCAGTCTTCACCCCAATAAAAGTAACTCAAAAATTGCAGTTGAATTTGAAGTACATTCTTGAGAGCAATACTTCACTTAACACCTAAAGGAATTTGTATTTCTAAAATAAAGTTTTTGGTAACTGACAGGCTGTTCTTGTTTCATAATAGATATTGAATCAATAAATAGGCATTTTATGGAAACTCATTTATTATTGAAATATTTATATATTTCATAGAAATAATTTCAAACTTAAACCATATTTTACTGCAACATTTTGAAAGCTTTGTAAATTTAAATTAAATAAATTAAATAACACAAATTCTGAAAGACTTTTCGGTTTAAGTATAGCCAATTTCTATGGAAATTGAGTAAATCAAAAATGTAAATAAATCAGTGAGAATAAATAAGAGGGCTCTAGTCAAGACGGATGCATCCAAACTGCAAAATATACAAAATCTTTGTACTCATTACACAGTAAATCTGAAGTTTCAAAACATATTCAAGCTAGGAAATGGGAAGAGTTATCGAAAAAAATTGAGAAACTTGTACTGCGTATAGTATATACGAGTATACATTTAAAATTTCAAGTCGGTAGTTTTTTAGATGGACTCTGATCAAGAATATATATACTTTACTACCCCGCCTCGTTCTGCCTGTTACATACGTGTTCACAAAACCATTATACCCTGAACTTCCATTTTCAATGAGTTGAGTGTGTAAAAAGTATCTGCAGATATTCAACTCAAACATTTAAACTAAGTGTTAGTCCATATAAGCATATATTCTACAAAGACTGCTTCAATTATGGATGCAAGTATACAATTATATAATATATGTATATATATCAATGATTTTAGGCCTATCAAGACTAACTTATCGGAAATGACACTTCTTTTTTGGGTTCAATTTGTAGACTTGATAAACTGTCTAGGTGCTATGTTATCTAATCTGGAATAGACACGCTTACCTAGTAACCAAAAGTTAAATTGAGTTCCGCTCTCTTTGACATTGGTATTGAATATTGCATAGGGTATGTACGTAAATAAAGGCAATTCCCATTTGTTTTAAAATGTATTTATTTGTTTTGATTTTTCTGTTTGCTGTTTCTTGTGAACTGTTTTACAATGCAATTGCGATACAAAAACAAACCCGTTTTAATTAGTTTAGTTAATTAGTTTCACTTCTTTATGTTACATTTAAAGCCACTTTTGTTTTTCAATTGTTTGTTGATGCTGCGCTGCAGAGTGTCGAAGACGCCAAAAATAATTGAGAAATATAATTGAATGCATTTAATCTGAACAAATCAATGTGCTGGAATTAATTCGATTAGGTGTTTGTGTGTGTGTGAGTGTTTGTTGCAAACATAGCAAACTTATGGAATACATAATTAACTAAATGGTATAAAGAGAACTACGCGAATTGCCTTTTCTGACGGCTGCTGCTGCTTCTTGACAATTCATTTTTACAAAACACAAAAAAAGAAGAGGCATTGAGGTTTAACTTATATTGCATTTGCTCTTAGATGTGCTTCTCAATGGTCTGAGCCAATCGGGAGGCATTGGCGCCAGCGAACTCGTCCACCTTGACGGAGTTCTTGATGAACAGGAACGTGGGCATGCTGGCGATGTTGTATTCCATGGCAATGTCTTCGCACTCATCAACATCAACCTAGAAAGTAAAGCGCATGGCCTTAGTTGAATATCATTTTCAGGAAATGTGAGCAATCTTTACCTTGATTACAACAATCTTTTCGGAAAACTGTTGCGACAGCTCCTCCAGCTTGGGCGCAATCATCTTGCAGGGTCCACACCAGGTGGCAAAGAAGTCCACAACGACCAGCTTATCGCCCGCATTCGTCAGCTGTGTCTTGAAGTCGTTCTACAAATGACAGAAATCAACATATATTTCATATTCAGTCACAAATCGATTTTAATTTTCCCTAATGTTGCTACACATTCATATATATGTGTGTATTTGTGTTGACTAACTATAACAGTACTTGCGAACGCCATTTACATAATTTCATATTGATTATATTCATACTTCAGTTGCTAGTCTTATGGTCGTATGAATTTGTCAGTTAATAATAGGCAAAACCACATTTGATTGCAAAGAAATGTGTTCTATGTGGAATATGTTGTGGTTTTTCATGAGTTCAAAAATCTTTCTACATTTTTTTTGCCATATCCATAGTTCTAGCATGATTGTATTTCTATATAATAAATACAGCTCTTTCGAGTAATATTACTAGTTCATGTAAAGGTAAGAGGAAACGTACGAATGAATGTTTAGTCTATGAATGAATTAGAGTCTATAAAATCATATATCAAGATATATACATATATGTATGCAGCTGTGTTCATGGAAATAGTATTGTGACTGAGTAATGCTTTCCTCTACCCACTAAAATAAATAGCAATATTAAGCAATTTCAACAATTAATATACAGCATAATAGGTTGCATTTTTTTTAATACATTTTTATTTTAAATTTACTATTAGTTCTAATGTCAACTGCTTACATCCAGCACTACTATTTTTATGAACAGCTGTTTGCGTTAAGCTATATATTTATCCCCCTCATTTAAGTAGAAGAACCTCTTGTTTTTGTTGGATACACTTAAGATATTTAATTGTATTATATATGTATCGTTTTATGCTTCTGTATAATTTTTTCTGGTATAACAATTTTTCTTTCTAGTATTGAATATATCGCAGTAAACTTCAAGTGGAACATCGTATCTAAGCGAATTAATAATCACTTATATATTTTTATATTTAAGAAAACAATGAAATACCTTGATATTCAAGTTCATATCACTATATCAAACGGCTTTATTGCCTTCTCTTATCGTTTTATATGTCACACATATATTGCTTAAGATATTTCAGCTATTACGACTCATTTTGCAATGCGCCTTACTTATTTGGATAATCGTTTCTTATCGGACCACATAAAAGTGCTGTGGGAACTATTAATCGTGTGGTAACACTTTAGAATCATAAATCTTTAAATTGTTAGGCTGTGTTATTACATAAGTATTACACTTATAGCTTCAATTTCTTATTTATTAGAGCTACTACCAGATCGCTGTATCTTCAAGCTGTTCAGCTGTAATTTTGAAGGTTTTTAGGGCATATTACGATTATGTTGAACAGTTACATGTATATATATATATATATATATATATATATATATATATATAGTATATGTATGTAATTTGTATGGCTTATCACCAGGTGCCAACTTTGTAGTCTATCGATTTGTTTTTGGGTAGCTACTGTAACACGTTGCGCCTTATCAGCGCGGGTTCTAACAAGTGTGATAAGCACGTTTAGTAACCCCGTTTTACTGGATTAAATAAGGAATGGTGTCTGCAACATCTCTATATACCATTTATATACATTTACATACATATGTGTGTGTTTGTGTCGCTCACATTATATACTATTCCAACTTTTATCCACTTATATCTTTTTTTTTTCATTTAAATATTTGTTTGTGGACTTTTACTTATTTGCACAGCGAGTGGAGCGCTTCACCCCCGTCCGACCACGTGGATAGCGAACCATTTGCTTAATTGCTTAATCATCGACAACGTGTCTCATTTGAATTGGACTCACGACTACAACAGAACTTAACTTTTGACATGAATCGAGTATAGAGCACACACACATTCGTGGTTAAAGCTATTTCGCAAGTTTTTCAATATTTTGAATTAAATTCCAAAATGTTTTTCCATTTGTTGAACATGGCCGTATTAAATTTCAATAAAATTCTTAATGAATATTTTTTTATAGATTGTATATTGTTTAAAGCATTCTGAATGAAACTCATTTGTGGTTGATTATTGTTTACATTCAGAAATCAAAAAAATTCAATAATTTTTCAATAAATATTTCACGTTAAATTATGAATTTATTTTGCAACTTCTCGAATTATATTACAAAATCATAATTTTGTTGAAATTCTGAATAAATATTTTTGCATTTGTTCAATATTAGTGCATTAAAATTACCTACAATTTTGAATGAACTATTTTACTGTTATATGATATAGCTTTCTATATATATATATATTATGTTTGACTGACTTTTATTGAGTAAAAATTCAATTGGTATTCGGTTTTATTTCTTTTCAAAATTTACAAAAATAAAAATATTCATTTTTAAATAATTTAAATTAATAAACATTTAAATTAGTGATATATATATATATATATAAATATGTATATATATATAAATATATTTTTTAATATATAATTTTATCTTGAAATTCATTCAAAACATGTTTTTCATTCAGTTCAAATTACTTCTGTATGCAAAAATAATCAATATATAAGTAATTGACATGTATGTGGGCGTTTACTGTATTCCATTGTGGGCGTATACCAACTAGCTGTACTTTCATCTAAACATTGGCATTGATTAGTTTAAGTCCTAGTCCAGCCCCTGTCACGTTCTTCTGAATGACCTTTAATTAATTGCAGTAATTTTCAGCACGATATTTTATGCTTTTGTGCTGAATGATTCATTGCGGCTCGAATTGTAGTTCTACAGTTAACGCCAGAAATGACGAACCTTAACAGTTAAGGAGCAAACACTGCGATTTCAATCTCTTCATTACTTTAATTAGACTCGCAAAATGAAACTAATATGCAAAGCCACTTGGAAACCGGTTGCTCCTTTGCCAGTGCCAACTTTAATCATTCGGCTATTTATATTTATTTATTTAACTTGTTTTCGCATTTTTATGTATATTTGTTGAATGGAATTTGGCTACAATCGCTTAAGTCGAGCTTCGAGACATGCGAATGATTCATTTATTTCTTTTGATTAATCTTATCCGATTGATTGAGAATTTCACTCACGGCATCTTCGTGAGTTATGAATGACTAATATCTGATTCTCTCAATTCCAATTATTATTCAGGAATATTTGCACATTTCATCACTAGATTATTAACTAACTAACTAAGTACACAAATGTTAGTCTTATCTGAAAGACCTTCTCAAAACTGCAAATGGATCTAGAATGTTCACTAAATTATTTCAACAAATAAGAAATATGATTACATATCTCAAGCTTGACTAACAATTACTTTCGAATATTCTACGAAAATTTGCTAAAAATTTATGCGCAAGTGCAAAAAAAAATATTTACGATTATTATATAAATATAAAAAACTAAACATTCTATGCTTATTAAATCTAAAATTTATGAAAATTGAAAAAAAAAATAAGTTTTACAAATATTATAAACATTTATGAGTGTTTTAAATTAAAGAAAAAATTTTACTTAAGGTATTAAAATATTGACCAATTTTTAAGTAATCCAACAAATAGAATATTCGTAGAATAATTTCATAAGTCGACATTCATTTTAATCATAAACAATAATTCGTATCTATATGTGTGTTTATCATTTAATATATTGCGAAGCCATTTTATTGTTGTCTTTTTTTTAATTTTAATGAATTGTTGCTGTAAACAGGTTGTTGACAACATTTGTACTAGTAATGAATGTTTACTACAAGCATGAGCTAATGGAAATTTTTATTATTATATTATTTGTTGTTGCATCTATAGGATATGCAATGGGTAAGACTTTGCAACAGTTGGGGCAATATTTTCTACATTCAAGCTGGGCTTATGAAGTGGAGTTGCAGGCTGATTAGACGAGACTAAACTATGAGCATTTGAAATGTACACATACAATTTAAATAGGTCTAATTCGAATATATATTCCATTCTAATTGGAATATGAAACCGTATGAATATGCGATATCTTAAATACTGGCTAATCTTTAAATTTAGTTTTTAATATATATATTATATTATTATAGTTTTTGGCTTCAAATTGATTAGGTCCCTTGTTTATTTCAATTTCAAAATTTCTTTTTAAATTTGTTTATTTTTCGCACTCGCATTCAACAAGAGACAAGTGTTTTGTGTTTCAACTGTTCCTAACCATAATAAACGATATTAGGTATATAATATAGGCGTAAATATATATCATTTTGTGTACAGACTACTTAAAAGCTTTTAAGCATAGGCAAAATCATTTTTATTTCACTTTATGATCTAATAAGAAATGTTTCGTGACATCACAAAAATGTTGAAACATCTTAGTGTTTTTATTGCTTGTCCATAAATAATAGAAATATTAATTTGGCTGACGTAAGGCCTTTGAGTTTCTCTTAAATATGTCAAAAAAAAGGCGTTTAGTTAACATTGTATCTCGATTAAAACCGGTTTTAGTAACTGTCGGTAGCCCGCCAAAACGATTAAAGGGTAACTCGAAGGCCAGCACCCCTCGTGTCCCAGCTATAACGACAAAAACAACTACAACCACAGCAAAAGTGTCTTCTATATTTTTTACTGATAAATTAAATGCAAATTCATCGTGATGAAAATGGGGTTTGTCTAGTAAATAGGCGTAAGCTAGTATACACATCTATATATATTTAAATATACATTGTGGTCTAGTTGTTGTTTCACATTTCTTACACACACACTTGGAGAAGGCATAAAAAATGAATTTGCCACTTTCCATGGCGACGCGTTGGCTTGAAGAGATGATATCATTGTCATATACTGGTTTTCTCTACATATACTACACATATATATATATATATATATATATATTTGTTGTTTGTGTGAAGCGTATGGCAATTGGGGCAAACTATTGAAATGCGAGTGGGGCGAGGCGAGTGGTCAATATATTTTGCACATTACTTAATCTAATGAGCGAACGCAATTACAATAATTATACTACTCACCACGTCTGTAACTGTGTACACCATTTTGTAAATAGTTGTTGTTGTTGTTGTGGTTACTGTTTGTTGGTTTGGTTAGGTTAGGTGTAAGAACAACCGGTAAAGCTGTATGAACTTTCTTAATTACCGCACACAGAGCACACGCAACCAACTCGTGGGATTTTAATCTAGCGAATGCGAGCGTTAAGCGTTGGCACCCTCTGTCATATATGAGCACCGGAAACACACCACGCAGAAGAGCGGGAGACTTTTGAGATTTGTTGTGAGCTGGCAAGGCTGGTGAGTTATGCGTACTGCAGAGGTCACATAATGTTCTCATTATGCTCGCTCTATATTTTTCTATGTTATAGCAAACACATTTTACCTACAAATAAATATAATTTAATATTGAAAATTAGAATTGTAAGCTTCATTAAATATTGATTTAACATAATTATAAAATACAACTCTGAAAAGCACACGCCTTACTCATACCAGATGGCGCTGCTCAAGAAATGTTAACTTTTTCCGCCAGATGACGCTAGCGTGCGTTTTAGACGTTAGGACTTTGGGTACCCAGAGCAATGCTTAGGTGTTTCATTTAAATTAAGTGCTTTTAACTTGGATGCGTGCTACAGAGGTAATATTGGCTTATGAAGTCGAAGTCTCTAATCATAAATTGCGAATATATGAATCTATTATATAAAAATTTCGAAATGCAGGAGATGGCGCTGCCCTCGGTCAGTTTCAATGTTGGCGTTCATTTGCAACAGATGGCGCCAGCGTGCAGGTGTTATGTCTTATTTATTAATATTTTGTTGAAAATATTGAAAATTACTTAGATTATAAATAGACTAATTAAGAAGTCGTTAGTGTTTGGTTTCGCTGTTAATGAAACTAGAAAGGGTAAGCTAAAATATGAGTATATATATTGCATTAAATATAGCTTACCAGCGAGTATGACCTATTTAACGACCACATGCATTTACAAATCAACATTTCTTAATAATTTATTTTTGCCAAAATAAGAAAACAACTACACAATACTATATATATGTATATTGAAATTAAGATTTCAAATCTTAACCTTAAGAACTATGAGTAAATCGGCGCCTTTTTAAGTACTTATCAATGGGCCGCATGGGCGGCTGCTTGTGGGGGGGCGTGTTGCGTCGAATGATGCAAATGGTGATGATGATGATGATGATAAGTGAGCGTTGGTGCAGGTGGCGCCACAGCTGTGACAGCAGACGCAGCAGCAGCAGCAGCAGTGCCGCCAGCGACAGCAAAACCATTTGCTGCCACCGCCATCTGTTGTTCATAATTGGCATAATGATCGTAATAGCTGCCATAGCTGCCGTGCTCCAAACTCGGGTTCAAGCCACTGCCGCTACCACTGCCAATGGCGCCACTGTTAACGCTACCGCTGCCCGGCGCTGTAGTGCCAGTATCAAAGTAGCTGACGCCGCTGTAGCTATTGGCGCTCTCGTAGTAGTGAGCGTGTCCGCCGGAAATGTTGCCGTAATGCTGCTGCTGTTGGTGCTGCTGCTGCTGCTGGTGCTGCAGCTCGTAGTCTGACTTATTTGACTCACGCTGGTAGTAGTAATCGTAGTTATCCTCCGCATAGCTCGCCACTGGCTGCGTCTCCACGGTCGCATTGTACTTGATCGTGGGCGTCGTTTCGCTCTTGCAGCCCAGCTCCAAGTGCTTGATCTGCGAATAGTTTATGAACTCCGGCTCTGGCGTAGCCAGTTGCGGACTGGACTCATATGCCAGCTGGCAGCTGCCATTGCTGATTGCATTGCTAGCATAGCTAGACGGATTGGATTGATTGGCCGGCTGATAGGCCAGCTCCGAGATGCACGTGTAGGGCAAGCTGGGCGATTTGCTGGGCGCAGCAGTGGCAGCAGTGGGCGTGGCATGGTATATGGGATAGTTGTAGGTAATATGCTGATGATTCACTGTGAACACATTCGCCGACGACTCACAGTTCGCTGGCTCACTGACATTGGCGGCCAACGGCCAGGAGCTGCTCATGTAGTTGGAGGATTGACTCAACTGATGGGCGCGCGTGCTCTCCTCCAAATAGCTGCACGTACAGTGGCTATACGTGGTGCACTTGCCGCAGGCTGAAGATCAGAGTTTGTTATGAGTTGTAGCGTAAAGTGTCGCAGGATCTGATTGACTCACCATTGAATTGATATATCTCCAGAGCCGAATGGCCCAGAGGCTGGCTGGCTGTGGAGCGCTTGAGCACTTTGCTCATGAGATTCTGCTGCTGCTGGCAAAGAGTTCGAATGAATCTTCGAGGTAAAATGCTGTCGTTGAATGAAACTCACCTTCACCTGCTTCACCAAGCCCGCTATGACCGACTTCTTGGGCACGCTGTTCGACCTACTCCCCGTCAGATTGGCGTTGGCCTTGCCGGCCGTCAGGGAAACCCGTCCGAAGGCTCGTTTCGACACACTCGAATTCTTGGGATCGGGTCGCAGATGATCGTGCACGCCCTTGGCCTGAAAGAAGATGGCATTGCCCGAATGCCGCCAGAAATGTGTCACCGGATAGCCGCAGTGACCGCGACAGGGCTTTATCTCCAGGCGACCGCCGCGGCAGCTCTTGTTGGGGCACGCCTTGCCCTCCTGCTTGCGCCTCGCCTTATCGCATATGGCAGGGCGCAGATTGATCTTGGTACCGTTGGGCAACGTGCAATGCTGCGAGCAGACAAGTACGCCCAGGCAGCTCTTCTTCAAGATGTTCACATTGTGATTGTTGGTGTTGCGCATTGCCCAGCCGGAGATGTGCTTCTTGGCCTCCTCGTTGTGCACCGAATAGACCAGACGCACATGCCCATCGCTCCACTCGCTGAACTCGTCGAACTCCAGGTCGGCCACCTGCGGCACGATCGCATCATTGATGTCCCAATCTCGCTTGCCTTTGCTGCTGCCGTTGTTGTTGCTGTGCGTCGACATCCCGCTGGAAGCTGCCTGCAAGTGGCTCTGCTGACTCTGATGGTGGTGCTGCTGGTGCTGCTGTAGCTGTGGATGCGGCTCTGATTGTGAGAGTTGTTGGTAGTGCGCTTTGAAAGTGTAGCCATTTCTGCAAGAGATTCAACATGTGTTCAATCCAAGCTAATCCTTATGCTTTACAGATTCCCAATCGAGATAAGATAAGATGTGTGGAAAGTCAGTGCAAAGTGGGCACTGCAGACACTCTATATAGCTGATAGTTTTCAAAGACTGATTAGCATTATCTTCGCCACTCTGGCTAAGGTTTAGTTCTGAGAAACTATTAATCAAATGAATCTTAGGCAAACGATTTTCTTCCAGCTCAATGTGTGCGTAGGTTAAGCTATGATTGTAACAATTGACGAACTTAGATGATATATTTGATATACATATTTTAATAAGGAATTTCATTGGTTAGATATGAAAGATATTTATTCTAGTTTTACTTTTTTTATATATCAAATAATAGTGAGATAAATGTAAGCGATGAAGCTGAAGTTTCTTGGATGTTCTAGCTGCATTCCAATCATTGTTAGCAAATTTACTTTGTGGGTTGATAAAGTATATATCTTTATAATATATAACTGATCGATAATCCATAGTAGGCAAGGCATCTGGCATAGCTATAAGAAACGTTTCTTCTTTATCTGCAATTTCTTAAAGCCATTTATGCACTCTGTTATGATATTTATATAGCAGTCTTTGCTTATCAGTTTACAAAATCAAAAACAGAATAAAAATTCTTTAACATTACTCTAACTTCTCAATATAATCTTTTATTGAAATTGTAATTATAATTATTTAATATATAATATATTTGAATATATATAATATATTTAAATATATTCTATATTTCTATACCATTAATATACCTTTCTGCATACCTGGCAAGTGAGACCCTTGACGAAGATAAGAGCTCAACCAAGCAGAATCTGAATGAAGTCGATAGTACTAAAGTTCTTGGACTAGATGTATTTATGGCTTAGAAAATTAATGACCTTATTCTAAAGGCACGAATACATCTTATTATTAAAGAGTTTCTCTAAGAATTTACTAGACGCAGTTATGGGCAATGGAACCAAATAGAACCAACAGCTAGAACCTCATAAGATTCACTTACAAATAACATTTCCCAGCTTATCTTTTATCTACAAAGTATTTCAGATCTAGTTAAGCAGCTTTTAAGCTTTCATGCAATTTGTTGTTTATCCATTTAGCTCTACATTAATTTCGAATAATTAAAGAAAAGAAAGAGCAATCGATTGAGGAACTATTTGTGATTAAGCTTTAGGCCTATGCGGGTTACCTTAGCTCTTAACTGTGCTAAACTCTAAAGGAAACTAAAGTACTTTGATTAGAAACTGAAGGAAATTCACTTGGCTTTGGCATCGCTTGACGATGGTTTTTACTGTGAAACGTTTCAATCTAAATTACGCTACTAAACGATGCCTATGAAATGCTTCGAGCTTGGTTTACGATATCGCTGCGCGTTGCGTGGGTTCCGAGACACAGTCAAATGAAATGTCTGTTGGCTTTATGCGTGTCATGGCACACATAACTCTTCGGGGCGTGACACTAAATGCTCAGAGTGGACAGCAGCAGGTACCGTTAACGTTAGCCCAGTTCAAGAACCAAGTAATGCAAGCTGCAGCATCGTAATACGAGCGCCAGCTAACAAAATGATTGGCACTTAAAGCGCCGGCGCTGTGACTCATCAACAGTCCAACAGAGAGAGAGGGAGGAAGACTCCGAGCCGTCTCGTCTAGCAGCTGAATGATCCACGGATGTGTGTGTGTGTGGGAGCTCCGCGCTCAGATTTATGCGGCAAACGTTTAGTGAGCCTCGCTCTACAATTAGCAATAAATTTGTCGAGGCAACGCGCCTCATTAGAGGGCGCCCTGTTGTGGACCCCCAATCTCAGACGCAGTCTCAATTCCCGATCTCTGCCTCGCTCCGGGGTCCAGCTAGAACCTAGCCTAGCTCGTTCGATACTTATTTTGTTTTGTTGCTCTTTTTTATGTCTACTGGGAAGTCAGCAGGCCCTTCTTCTCCTATGATACCTGATCGAGTTGGGATCTTGGTGGTCCGCATTGAACCTGTTTCACGTGTGGCTCGTTTGTCGGTTGTCGCTTTGTTTTGGGTACGTAAATTGACTGCTTGACACTTCGTAGCGCGCTTATCTGATTCTGATAGCCGCACTTCGTTGTTCTGAGCCGACTATAATAACTTTGTCACCTACAAAATATGTCTATATACATAACTATACGAGCAGTCTATGCGCTCCCTCTCACACACACTCTCTCTCTCCCTCTCCCTTTCTCTCTTTCTCTCTCTCTTGTACCCCTTTCACTGGCCCAGTCAGCCCCCGCGTTGGGCCCTAGATGCTTGTGTGTGGTCTGTGTTTCCCGCGGTGTGTTTTGGAGTGTTATGAAGCCTCTCTCCCTCTCGCTGGCACAGGCTAGGCTGCTCAGCATGATAATAAAGCGCTTGAAATAATTTAAATATTTTTGTGCTTATTTCGATGTTTTTCTTTTTATTGTTATTTGTTTTTTTTTTTTTTATTTTGGTTTGGTTTTTTTGCTCATTCCGATTTATTGCCTCAACTCGGAGACCTCTTATCATAGCGTTTCGTAATTAAGTCAGATTCCTTAAGTACGTAATATATATATATATATATAATATATATTCAATTCAATTCAAACAAACAAGTTTAGTTCTTTGGAATTATCAGAAATCTAGAATTTCAAATTCTTTTATATATTTATGAGTTTTGAATGCTTTCAATATTTTCACTTCTGAAATTGGTTTGATATGTGAATAGTCTCTTGAATCTATTTATAAGATGTTTGCCATGTTTTAATAAAGCATATATATAGCATATAGAATCTGAATCTTTTGATTAGCTATGCTCTTGCTTACTTAGAATATTTTCAATATGATTTAATTTTTGATTCGTTCTGTAAGCTGTGCAATATTTTCTCGTTCGAGCCTCCGCTCTTTCCATTACCAGCTTAGATCATTAAAAATGTATTCATTTATATATAAATATTTATATATTATTTTTAAGGGTATTCAAACATCTGCGCAATATATTTTTCTTGCAATTTTTTGTATGCTATTTTAAATGTGCAAAAGAAATGCATTAATTTTATTTATTTTGTAATTAAGATAATTTTATTGACGATAAAAAAAATAAGAATCAAAGCAAATAACAATATTTAAAACTTTCTAAATATATAAAAATATTTAATAATTTTTTTTGCTTCTTCAATAAATGAAATTTTTGCATTTGTTTTTAAGAAATTTTTTATTTGCAGATTGGGGAGAGACGTAAATTGTTGTTGCTTTTGTGATTACTCTGAAATTTTATTGCTCAGCTGGAGATTGTTTTATTGATTTCTTTATTGAAATTAAGTTTCTGATATTTATTGCCAATATTGAATTTTAGTGCATATTGAAAACGTATTATTTTAAAATGGCATTTGTTATCTTAAATACATTTTTCTTCCTCTTCCTGCTAACTGTTTACTTGCGCCCGCAGTTTAAATTGTTTAACCACAACAATGTGTTGATTGCTAAATATAAAATTCTGTAGGTATTAAAAAAAAAGAAAACAAAACAAAACTAAATTGTAATTTAATTTTTAATGTTTTAAATTTAAGTGAATTTTATTTATTATTAGTTTTAGTTTGTTTTTATGATTTTAATTTAAGCAGAAATATATTTTTCTTACTATTTTGATTGTGATATATTTATTGTTTTATTTTTTAAACAGTTTAAAGTATTCCCCACTAATAAATTCATATTTTCTATAGAAAACCAACAACATAATATCTGTTGAGTATCAAATACATATGTTATACATATTTTAAATATATAGCTATGCTTATCTGAAGTCTTTGTATCAGCTTAAGCTATTCATTAGGAATTTGAAAAGTTTGAAATTGTGCAATATGCCAAATAGAAGCCAAAACCTAACCTGACTCTGTCACTGAGCCAAACTCATATCAGAATCATTATAAGAGTCTTTGCTGCATGGAATCAGCATACGACGCTGCTGCAAAGATATAGCAACTATAGCTATCACAGCAGAAGCCTAGTTTCTAAGCAGCAACAGGGTATGCTTATGCTCAGGCGACACGACATGATTGCTTGGGTCTCAATTCTGATAACAATTCAATTGAAACTTTTTATCGTCAATACGTCAATGTGTGTTTCTGGAAATGCCCTTGTCTGGCGTCGAGGGACTTGAGAGGTTGATGCCATCGATATATATGTATATATATGCATATATATATGCATATGTATATTCATATACGAAAATGCAGAACAGAACTTACAAAACAACCATATTCCAAACAAATGCGTTTAATCCACAGTATGTCGCGCGATATATATATAAATATATATGTGTGTGTGTGTATCGCTGTTATATTGCCCGATTTATTATCCAATAGTTGAGCTCTTGTCAGACTATAGGCACTTCACAATTGCAGCACTTGGCCATTATAAACAAAATTATATATTGAATGGCGTTGACTTCCGTGGCCCTTAACACAATTGTATCTGTATCTAACGGATAGATAGCACAACGACCGTCGCTAGTTTGTGACAATGGATGCCCCGGCGACGACAACAATGACGACCTTTCACTGTGGCAACCTGTGCGCGCGCTCTGTGTGTGTGCAGCAGGGCAAAATGTACGTATCTGCCAGATACAAAGCAACAAAACATAAAATTGAGCATAAACTTCGGGCTGAAGACAAAAACGACGCTGCCAGGCAGCCAGCCAGCAAAGTTTTGTCAACAATCAAATGATATTATATGCCTGGCTCCACCTACAAAAATACAACAACAACGACAACAACAGCAACAGAAGCAGCTGAGAGACTAGCGGATAGAGACTCATTGGACCCATGGACAGACCCACCCGCATAAATTTGGCA